ATATTACCATCATCATGCTAACAGCAGAAACCAATCCTCAACTTTATTATTATTTTCTTATTTTCACTATTATAAATCTTATCATCGTAGTCATCGTATGTAATCATAGTCGTTAATTTTTTACGCGTTTAGTATAATGTACATCAAAGTCAAAACTGTTTTATCTTGTAAACGTTGTAATATCAACAACCATCAACCGATGCAATGCAATGATGTTGCTACATTCACAGCGGCATAGTGCTAACAGAAACCAAGCAGGTAATTATAATTCCAGTGATGGAATGGAACATTAGTAATGGCATTTACGTCATAAACCGAAAAATTTCAACAATGTCGCAATAATTTTTTTTCCGTGTTAACAAAAAGTTTGTCTACCATGTCTGGCTCTGTCTGCTGGGTTGCTGTGCCACTTGTCACATGTTTTGTTGTTGTATTATTACAAATGTGTTGGCTGTTCTTCTACCGATGTGTTCGATTTAAATTTGTTGTTTGCAATTTATTTTTTATGTGTTATATTTTCTAGGGAATTATTTTTACTTGCTCATATCTCTAGATGCGTTGTGATGGTATACTGATTGAATGATGTGTATAATGTGTTTCGTTAAGTAAAGTAAAATTTGCATAAAGTTTGTCTTGTATGCTTATATGTGCTGAGTTTTAATTATCAGTTATATGTTTTAATGTTGTCAGTTTATTTTATCAGCGTTTCACTTTCACGTTTTTAAACCGTTTTTTCGTTCGCGCAAAAGGATGTTCTGAATGTGACGTGTTGTGTGCAATGTTTCATGGCGTGTTTTTTTGATCCTGCAGTACTTTCATTGTACTCATTCGTATGTTCTCATTGTTTGAGTTGCTTTGTGCATTTTTTCATTTCTTTCAACCATGATGGACGTTTTTTTTTATATTAGAGTGCGTTGTGATCATGTGCGTATTTTACGTAATGTTTGTGTTCTCATGTTGTTATAATAAATTCTAAATTATGACAATGCTATTCTGTACTACTAATGTTATGTATGAAAATGTGATGGTGCGTAGTTGTGTCTGGGCTTCATCACTAAACTGATGTAGATGATTTGTATGTTTTTGTCAGAGTAAAACCTGAGTGTACGATAATGCGTTTGTTTCACAAAGTTTTTTAAGCAAATTATGCATATGCTGTATCTTTTAAAAAATTTTGTTTCAATATGCAGAAATTTATAGGAGAATTAAAAGTGCACACGCCTGAGTATGTCTTTTTAGAAGATTTTTGTTTGTTCACACGGCTCTTAACAGCACTAAACGTTGGATGAACGTTTTTTTCAGAAGAAGTTTGCCTACTGCTAAACGTGCCGTAAACTCAATTTCACACTTAACGACGAACCCATCAAGACACTAATACGCACACACTCGACTGCAAATCTTTCAATCAGCGAAATGATCGTTCCGCAACTGCACTTCATCTGCCAGGTTTGCGCATCTATCAGGCATGTAACATCACAAAAATCGTGGCTTCCCCGCTTGCGGCAAACATGTCGTGACCACCATCCACCTATTTATGACCCGTAATGAATTAATATGCACAGTAATTTCAGTGTTCACGCTAACGCATCAAATTTATACCGTCCAACGTATGTAGCAAATTTATAACGTTCAACAAAGTCAATTTCATTGCATTGGGATGGAGTGAGATTTTGTGAAAACAATTGAAATTCAGATGAACATTCAGATTTTAATTCTTTTGAATGTTTTTTTTTAAAACAGTTGAACATTGTTTAATATGACACAAAAAAGTTATCTCAAGTTAAAATCATAAAATCATATTGCAAACAAAAATAATACAGCAATACATCAATTCAACCAACATCAATCAACACCAATCACCAAGAGTATGGTTCAGGACAACAATAATATGACCAATAACAGATCAACCAAAGTCAAGAGACAGACACCATCAGCGTAGCAACAAACACAGCGTAGCATCAAATTAATCGTAGTTCTTGAAGACATCTGACCAGACATTAATACTTCATAATGTGTATGCGTGCGTTCCAATAAGGAACATAATGTCAATTCAAAAGACTTCATATATGTATCTGTCTCTCTGTCTGTTCATCTTTGCACTACCTGGTCTAGAAATTTTTGTAGTTTGAGCTTTCATAGTAACCGGCGTTAATTCCAGATATTCAGGTTTTCATGTTTAAATGTCGTTCGAAGAACATCAATTAACACGCGCTAATCTAAGCGGTGTGCTCTGAATGAATTATTCATTCGTCTGTTTGTGTGTTTATGTGCGTGTATGTGTATGTATAATTATGTTTGTGTGAGTTTTTTTGCAGACAGTTTTTTCATAATTTATGTCTGCATGTAATTGTCTGTGTGGTTTGTGCTGGTATCTGTGGCAATTTATGTGCGTGACTGGCCTTTCATTCGTATGCAATTCTTCCTTTCTTTATTTATTTTGAAAACTTCATGTTTGTATGTGTGTGATGTAAAGAGGAACATGAACAATTCGAAGGGAAAG